TACACCCTCTAAATATATATTCTAGTTGTTTTTCTCATCTTTGACTTATCGGTAGTCTTTTATGTGATGAATGGTAAGATCGAATTGGATTGAATTTTCTTAAACGTTTCTATGGTTATCTTAATAAGTAAATTATTGAACTCAATGAAGAAAGATCTATCTCAATTGGATAACATGTTGATAATATTATGCATGACAATGTTTACATAGATTTTGTAGTCGATGCATTATCTATGCCGATCGGTGAAGCATGAGATGATTTTTTTTTAATTTTATTAGTTCTGAGAAATGTTTTAAATGAAAATTGTAGAAAATAATCATAGACAACGTAACAATAAAGATAACTAGACAAGAACCATTCTGGATGTCGAAAATTTTCAAAAGACTACCATCAATTTTAATATCGTGATAGCTGCTCAGTCGATTATCTTACAAACAACCGAAGGAAAAAGTCTATTTCATCATTTTATTCATTTCGAATAATATCATAAATGACTGTGACTACACGAATGAGAAGGAACAAATGATCGTTATCTTCCGAAGTAACTTATAATGGGAAAATCATGAAATTTGATTCATTGGTCAAGCAATAAGTATTTGAACAAATCGTGATTTTTTATAAGGCTTGATCAAAAATATTCATGATTGAGGAACTGAAATCTGAAATCGATAATGTTTATTAAGTGTTCTAAAAAAGATATCATTACACCAATAAATCAAGTAAACAAATTCGAGAAACTGATTACAAATTTGAATTGATCGAACCTAGTCAAAAACCTTTCATAACACTATACAATATATAAATTATTTGGAAAAATATTCTTTCATTGATAATCTCACAAGTTATTGCTTACTGGTAACTTGTCCGTTGTAATATTAACTATTAAGATTAGCTAGAACATTTTTCTGTATTACTCAAACAAATCAAAAGATCTATTCAAAACAAAATTCGATAATCCGATATTTTATATTATAGAAATTGAATTAAAAAATCATTGTGAAAAGCAACAAGTTTTTCTTACTTTCTAAAAGAATAGATGTAAGAAGCAAAAGAATTCCCATTATTCTTATAAGTAGAAGTATAGACCAAGATTGAATTTAAAAAAAAAGAAAATAAGAAAAATAATCGTTCTGATAAGATATATTCATCAATGAATAAAAAAGATCTTTTTATGTTACTATTGATAAAAATAATTATTTTATGAAATAAATGTGAATGACACTAGCAAATTATATATATTTTAACAATTAGAAAATATTGTTTGAAAGAATTTCTTTCTATAAAATTCTTTTTTTTTATTCATTTTCGAAGAAAAATATTTAACGATATAAAACGAAACGAAACAAATCATTGAATATCTTCTTCATTATCTTCTTGGTGTTGAATCGACAATGGTTTCATATATATCCATTTCGGATGAACACTTTTATAGAGATTCATAAATACAGTATCTTTTGATTTAAAAATTCCATCAAATAGACATTTCATATGACCATGTGTACCTTTATATTAAAATAAATCTTATCTTTATATTTAATTAATCAATAACAATAAATAACAAAACAAAGTAATTCTTTAATATGTCCTCGGGGACCCCATCTTGTGTATGTAATTCAATTGGTTTAAACCAATTAACATCGTCTATTTAAATAATAAATAATAGAAATTTTAGAAAAAAAAAGGAATCAAACCAGAATTAAAAAACATATATCGAATAACAGATGATCTTTTATGAATTTTAAATGGATGTCCACTTAATACTAGTCTTTTCAATATAAGACGATCATGATTAACTGAAAGAAGAGAACCAGTTGCTACTAATTCTTGTTGACCTTTATTTAACAAAAAGCAAAATTAAGTTTTTTTTTTTAATTTAAAAAATCGAATAAAATACCATCAGAAAATTGTTTAAATGCCAAAAATCGATGCAGGTGCATATGTTATTGGACAAAAACATTGCAACAAGAGTTTGTCGTGACCGAAAAAATCTTTCAAACTAATTGAAAATATTCTTATCTCTATTAATTATTATAATAATCAATTAGTAACAAACTTTATGTTTATCTCAATTTGAATGTTGAGAATAAATCGGTGAATTTGAAAAATGATGAAAACCAACATGAAATATAAGACGTTCTTTTGATTTAACAATTATTTCACTGTCATTTGTACGATTTAAGACAATATTTAATACTGATAAACACTGTTCATGTGGTAAAAGACCCTTTACAAATAATAGATGAGCAAGTTCCTTTAAGAAAAACAATAACAACAAGTTTTTTTTCTCGAATATTTCTTTTTCTATATAAAAATTTTTTCTTATCAAATCTACTGATGAGCACATCCTTTACATAAAGAGTTAAATAACTATGCACCTGTAACAAATATACAAATCAAAATAAGTATTTCATCAAATAAAATCTTCGGTAAATATAATTATTAAAAAGTTAATTACATTTATATAGAACACAAAACTTTTCTTCATTCTTAAATATATGACACATTGAAAATCTACCTGCACGAAATCATAAATTTCAACATCGATCGATTATAATCAGATTATCACTCTCTAACTTTTCTTTTTTCACTGTCAAGCTCAGTCAAAAACTTATCTTTTGCTTCGAATTTGAATAAAAAGATTTATTTGAAAAAGAACTGAGAAACCGTCGTATGAGATGCTCAGATTTTGATTTAAATAAATTGTGAATTATCGATTTGATGAATCATAAAATTTGTTCTTTGATCAGAAACGAACTCATTTAGAAAAAACAATTTATTATTTGTTGACTAATGATGATCAGTCACTGTTAAAAACACTTTTTGTTTTTTCTTTTCAATTCTGATCAACAACATTATTCAAACATATTTGCATTTAAGAATAAAATCAAGTTTTTTCAGAAATCTACAATTATCTATTTATCGTAGAATATTTAGACTTTAGTCATTAATTCGACAATATTATAAATCTGCTAAACTTGTTCGAAATTTAGTTGAAGAAGACGGTCGCAACTACTTTCAACAAATTTTGTTGAAAATAATCGGATAGATTATCTTTTACGAGTATTTGCACTTAATTAGAGATAAACAATGTTAGATTTTAGATTTTGGTAAATAGAGACGATCGTAGTTCTGCTGAGAAAAATCGATAAAGAATTGTCAAGGAAAGAACAAACACTCCGAATTTCTTCTCTCTTTATCTGACGCTCATATACAACTTCGATGGTTAATAAATGTCAATGATGACAAAACAAATTCATTGTCAACATTATTAAATATTTGTTTCTTGTTTATGAAAATCTATTCAATATAAATTTAAACATAAAACCAACTTTAAAAGAATAGGAAAAAGCACAAAAAGAATATTTCTATATGATATGCATATAATCATATTTTAAGGATAATTTTTAAAAAATTATTTAATAAAATCTCTTGATGAATTAATTCATTGATGAAGCTAGATATATACATATATTTAAAAAGAAAAAGTTTAACCTGAGCATGATCTTGTTTATGTTGATTATATTCTTGTTCACTTTCAATTTGTTTAATCAAAGTACGAAAACTAGGAAATTGATAAATTCTTCCATAATCATATGGTAAATTTTCTTTTGGATCCAATTTTGTTGTTCGAAAACTTTTTAAACCTCAATATCTTTATCAGAACAATAAAATATAATTAGATAAATAGAAAAAAATAGAAAAATATGAAATACTTTTGAAATCTAACACGAGTCGGAACATCCATTGGTGTATGAACTTCATCAGGAAATTATTCAACAAATTTAGCTTCTTTCAATTTTTTTAAACTAAATTAAATATTTGAATTAAAATAAATATAATCAGATATATAAAATAAACGTTTGTTTATCTTCTTCTAAATCTGTTTTTTCATCATAATTATCTCGATTCATAAAAAGTCCATCCATCTCTTCTTCATCTCCATCTTCTTCATTTTCTTGTTGATCAAGTTTAGTTGATTTTAGATCATCAGTATAATCAGTCATCATTTCTTGATGATCTTCGTCAAAATCCTTATATATTGAAAAAGATTTAAATTAAAAAAAAAACTAAACACTTTGTTGATTGAGAGACTGATTATCTTCGTCATCAGAAATAATCCATGTAGTTTGATATTGAGAAGTTCCTTTAGGTACACATTTTATTAACTGATGTTCAGATTGTTGAATCTCTTGTCTAGTTGGCCATGTTTGCTCTTAATAGAAATTTATTGAATCTTGTTCAGATTCAAATGCTAATCATCGTTCAACATTCGGATCAGCTATAAACGTTTTATCAACAATTGATTTTATTATACCATTGGACTAAAGTATTTCAAATTTTTTATTTATTTCTTAATAAAAAATGATTGATATTACATCTCGTTGAAATCGATGTTGTTCGATTTTTTCTAATTGAAATATGGGGCGTGTGTGGGTATGAATGAAGGAAAGATTAACACCCACATCCCACCCACACTCCACACCCCACCCACACCCACCCACACCCACACCCACACCCACACCCACCCTATGTGGGTGTGGGTGCAGGGTGTGAGTGTGGGTGTGGGAATGGATGTGGATG